CGACCAGCTGCCGCATTCATTATCCCTGTCGTCTTGATTTCTCTACCATGATGGACTCAAGGGCTAAAATCAAATAAACTCTTCCTTCCTACGCTGCCTTTGTCAGATGCATAACTGTAGCAACCAGAAAAGAAAGTAATACAGCCACTTTGCTGGGAGTGAGGGTGTGGGAGGTAAGGGGGTGGGAATGAGCAGCGGATAACACAGGGAAGAGGGGTGCTTTAAACCGTCAAGTATTGCGGAGATTTGTTAGCCGCCTTCACAGGACATGTAGAGACAGACTGTAGAGGCCCAGAGTTACAAGTGCGTGTGTTGGGGGAACCCCAGGCCAGCACTCCTGGAATTGACACTTGAATGACTTTATTTAGTGTTCCCAGTAGAATGAGGCAGTGGGAGTCAAGTGCACATTGATGAGACAGAAGAGGGATTCTGTGTTGTCAGTCTCCATGGAATCACCCAGCAGATTGATAAGGGACATCTCAGGAAAGATTAACTAAGACCTACCCTGACTGTGAGTGGTACTATCCTATGGCCAAGGGACCTCAGTGGAATAAAATGGCAGAGAGCAAGAAGCCAACCTCTTCCTTTCTCTACCTCCTGGTCTGCCGTGATGTGAACTGCTCATCTGTACCTCCACCGACATGTTGGAATAAACTCTTGGACATTGTGAGCACAAATAAATGGCGTCGGATGGTCATGAACCGTAGTGTGAGGCCAACCAATCATCTAGTAGAACCAAGATCAATCCTGGGAAGTCTTAGCTATGAGAGAATCCTCTAAGTGGTTCTTAAGCTGTGGGTTGCAACCCCTTTGGGGGTCGAATGACTCACAGGGATCACCTAAGACCATCAGAAAACACAGACATTTACATTGCAATTCATAATAGTACCAAGATTGCAGTTATGAAATAGCAACAAAAATCAATTTTATGGTTGGGGTCCCCACAACTTGAGGAACTGTATTGAGGGTCACAGCGTTAGGAAGTTTGAGAAGCACTGGTCTGAGTGGTAAAGAGCAAATAAGCTTTGTCTTGTAGTCAGGCCTGACTAGTAAGGAGAAATCCAGAGCGCGTATATAAAGGAACATGAGTCAAGCTCCCTATCAGCTGGGGAGCCTCCATTTTTAGCGAGGTGTCCAGGGGTCAGAGTCACTCCATCTCAAGGCCTCTCTCTGCTGCTTCTCAGACATCACAAAGGAGTCCCCACAGAATTCAGCTCATCCTGTCTCTCATGCTGTTTGCTCCCCTTTCTGGGCAATGCCGCTTTGGTATCAGAGTTACCATTAGAAACTGCCTCAGCCGTCTGTACGCCTGGGAGGAACAAGGTACCAGGTCAAGCAAAATTTAAACTCCTTTGGTATTCAAATGACAGAGGAACAAGGTAATGGGTGACAAGTTCTTGTCTCAGAAGTATCAAAACAGCCAGTCATGTGCTGTCATTAGAGCAAGACATTCATTACAGACAAAAACAAACAAACAAACAAAAAAAAAACCAAAGAGCGATTTATATTTTGAGCTCCTTTTTCTCCCCTCTCTCAAATCAAAATGATCTCAGCATTCTGTCCTACAAGCTGAAGTGTATAATGTATTTATAGCAGGCTTGTTAGATCTACAACTTTGAAGCTATCAACTTCTTGGTAAGAAAGGAAAACATAAATCTAAGTCTCTCTTTGTAGTGAGCCGGACAGGATCGCCATTACAAGATGGTGCCGACATCCTGTCCTGTTGGAAATAAACAACTCCATATTTGGCTATGGCTTTGAGAGCTGCGCGTCCCCGCTTCCAGCATGCGTGGTGGATGAGGATCCTTGAGCCTATCCCGATGCGGTCTGGTGTCAGCTGTTGGTGGCAGCCAATCACAGGGCGACCCGTGTGCCAATTCCCTATTTAAGTGGCTGCCTAACCCCCCCCCCTTCGCTTCCTGCTGCCTCTCCCCTTAGCTCCCTGCCCCTTCGCTTCATGCTCTCCCTGCCCTTCCCTTACTGCCCCTTGTTTTCCTGCTCCCCTCGTTTCATGCTCCCCATCAATCAAGGGCACTCCAGTAAAAGCGTGATCTGAGTGGAATCCTGATGTGGTGGTCATTCTTCGTCACCTGTCGAGAAGTCCGCCGCATCTCTTAATGTCAGCTTTCTTTAATAATGGTACACCTGCATGTCAACCACGCTCCAGGGCAGGCCCCATTCTGAGAGTAGTGGGCCAATACGAGCTGGACTCCAGGGAAACAGGGGGATGAAACTGGATGGGTAGGGAGGTGCAGGAGGAGAGGATCTGGGAGGTGTTAGGGAAGGGGAATAAATATGATTTTAAAAACTATGAAATTATCAAAGAATTAATAAAAATTAAAACTCTGTATAAAGAAAGGCTTTGCCTTAAGTTCTGGATCCTGGGACATAGCTTTATTAAATTATATGGCCAGAGAGGAATAGGTCTATGTGCAGGTTTGAAAAAAAAAAGAATGGCCCCCAAAAGGAGTGGCACTGTTAGAAGGTGTGGCCTTGCTCGGGTAGGTATGGTCTTGTTGAAGGAAGTGTGTCACTGTAGAGGTGGGCTTTTGAGATCTCATATATGTTTAAAATACTAACCTGGGTCTCAGCTCACTTCCTGCTGCCTGCTTTCAGCTCCTTTTCCAGCACCATGTCTGCCTGCACACCACCATGTCCTATCATGACGATAATGGACTAAACCTCTGAACTATATGCCATCCAATGAAACGTTTTCCTTTAAAAGAGTTACCATGGTCATGGTATCTCTTCACAGCAATAGAAACCCTAACTAAGACATTCTGTGTGCTGAATTAATGCATAAGGTTTTTAACAAACAAACAAGAAGAAGACGAAGAAGAAGAAGAAGAAGAAGAAGAAGAAGAAGAAGAAGAAGAAAGAGAAGAAACCCCATAATAGCAGTGGTTATGGTTTTCCCAACGAAAGGGATAAAACAGCCAAAACACATCTTGGGTTTTGGCTCTGCTCTGCACTCTTGGATGCTAGTTTCTACCCTTCACAGCTTTCATGAGCAACCTCTGTTTGTTTAGGAACTTGAATATCGACTTTTTGGTGTGCTGTCTGACTTGGTGCTGCCGTTTATGATGGCTTGAGTGGCCTCCCTTCCCTCAAGGACTTATGTGTGAGGACTTTGATTCCCAGTGTTGGAGCGTTACGCCGTGTAGGACCTTTAGGAGGTCTATCCAGGTAGGAGCCCATTGGAGTTGCTGCCATAGGATTGAGGTAGTTCTCATGAGACCTCAGTCCTCGCAGGAAAAGCTGTCGTGAGAGTGCAGGACCCTGCCAGGTGTGGCGGCATGCTCCTCTCATCCCAGCAAGCAACAGGAAGTTTTTAAGGTAAGCCAGGACAACCTAAAGAGACCCTGTCTCAACAACAACGCCGAAACAAAATCAAAACCAAAGAGGGAAAGTCTGTTTCCTGTCTTACCCTGTAAGTTTTCCTTCTCACAGGTGCTCTCCTGGAAGGGAAAGAGAAAATAAAGAAGGAGGTCATGACTGCGCCTAGGTATGGCGGAGGAGAAAGTTTTCTGTAGATATGAGAGTGAGCACAGCCAGAGGAAGAGACCTCTGGAAGAGTCCAGCGTGAACGCAACCAGCCAAATGATCGAAGCCATGTGAGGGGAGGCAGGAGGAGAGAGGGGAGAAAGAGAGAGGAGAACCAGGAGCAGTGGGCGAGAGGGCAAGAGGCCCAAAATAACCAGAATAGCCAAACTGGCCAGGTTATATAGGGAAGAGCAGCAGGGGGAAGGGCAGCTCCGCCCAGTGCTTGGGCTGGAGAAGTTTAGGGTAGGTGGAGGGGGTGTGCCATCCAGGAGGACCCTTTAAGGTAGGAACTGAGGGATGCTGGGAGAACCTGGTGGCCAGCTTCAGCTTTATATGTTAATAGGCACCTCTGCCATTTGTCCTGGCTTTGAGACCTAACACTCACCACGATTTTGTCTTCTGTGTAACAGAGCTAAGCAGGCCCTCACGGAAGTGAAGCATTCTGGCGTCAGGACGGTTTTTAAAAAGAGCTCATGTGTTTTGATCACATTCATCCTCCACTTCTCCAAATTCCTCTCAGATCTAACCCCACCTCTCTGTTTTCCCCACAAATCCATGTCCTTTCTTATTACTGTTTATTTTTGAGATTGTAATTTGATTGCGTTTCTCCCTTCCTTTTCCTCCCTTCAAACAGTCCCACCCACCCCTTCCTGCTCTCCTTTCAAATTTGTGACCTCTTTTTCACCAACCGTTATTGCACGCTTATATGTGTATATGCTCTGAAATGCATCCTGTTGCATTCATTTAATGGTACTTGAATGCATGTTTTCAGGGATGACTGTTTGGCATTGAACAGCCAATTGGTGTGCTCTGCCCTGTCTGACAATGATGCCACCTTTGTGCTCATGGACAGACCTTTATGAACCATTATCATAGTTCACAGGTTCACAGCTGGGTGATATTGCTGCTGATCTCTCCCCTACCCCCAATCCCAGCAGCAAATCCTGTCCTACCCTCCCAAACCCAGCAGCAAATCCTACCCTACCCCCACCCAAACCCAGCAGCAAATCCTACCCTACCCCCACCCAAACCCAGCAGCAAATCCTACCCTACCCCCACCCAAACCCAGCAGATAACCACACCCTACCTCCAAACCCCAGCTTCAAACCCTACCCTACCCCCAATCCCAGCCTCAAACCTTCCCCTCTCCCCAAACCAACCCAAACAGCAAGCCCTACTCCACCCCAACCCCAGGAGCCAGTAAGGCATCTTCCAGTAGGGTCGAAGCTAGCCAGCAGGCAGGAAGCTTCCCAGTCAGTATGGTTCCATGATCTTTAACTCTCTAAACTGTAAATTCAATAAAACTTTTTTTCCTTACATATTATACAGTCTTTGGTTGTCTGTTGTAGAAACAGAAAATGAACAAATACAAATGAAATACGTAATAACCCCAATGTTTATACTTTTAAAACTTAGTCCTGGAGTTCCTGCGAGTTTCTTCCTTCTCCCTGCAGCTGGCCTCTGGCCTCTAGCCACTTCCCTCGTGTCATGGCCCCGAAACGGCAATCTGCGCTTCTGCCTCAGTCCAAGAAACCCAAATCGGCTCCGTCCCCGAAACTGGAGGACAAGTCTGCCTCTCCCGGCCTGCCGAAGGGAGAAAAAGAACAGCAAGAAGCAATTGAACACATTGACGAAGTACAAAATGAAATAGACAGACTTAATGAACAAGCAAGTGAGGAAATACTAAAAGTAGAACAAAAATATAATAAACTCCGCCAACCGTTTTTTCAGAAGAGGTCAGAATTGATCGCTAAAATCCCAAATTTTTGGGTAACCACATTTGTCAACCATCCACAAGTGTCTGCACTGCTTGGGGAGGAAGACGAAGAGGCTCTGCATTATTTAACCAGAGTTGAAGTAACAGAATTTGAAGACATTAAATCAGGTTACAGAATAGATTTTTATTTTGATGAAAATCCCTACTTCGAAAATAAAGTTCTCTCCAAAGAATTTCATCTGAATGAGAGTGGTGACCCATCCTCAAAGTCCACTGAAATCAAATGGAAATCTGGAAAGGATTTGACAAAACGCTCGAGTCAAACACAGAATAAGGCCAGCAGGAAGAGACAACACGAAGAGCCAGAGAGCTTCTTTACCTGGTTTACTGACCACTCTGATGCAGGTGCAGATGAGTTAGGAGAAGTCATCAAAGATGACATTTGGCCAAACCCCTTGCAGTACTATTTGGTTCCTGATATGGACGATGAAGAGGGAGAGGCAGAAGATGATGACGATGATGATGAAGAAGAAGAAGGCTTGGAAGATATTGATGAAGAAGGAGATGAAGGTGAAGAAGATGAAGATGATGATGAAGGGGAAGAAGGAGAGGAGGATGAAGGCGAGGATGACTAGCAGAGAAGACTGATGGATTCCAACTCTCTTTTTTATTTTCTTTTTATTAAATTTCTCCAGTCCCTGGGAGCAAGTTGCAGTCATTTCCCTCCCGTCCCCAATCCCTCTTGTGCTCAGTTGCCCTGTTTCTGAGGTCTCGCTTCTCAATACCATGGTTCTCAACTTATTTTTGGGGAAATGTCTTGAGCAAAATACAATGGGAAAAGAAAGAATCTCCACTACTCTGTTCTACATTAATTTTTATCTTTTCTTGTCTTGAACTGTGGATTCAACACCACCACCACTGTGCTCTGTGGGAAAAAAGAAAAGCCCTCCAGCCCCTTTGGCTCTGCTGGAGGCTGGAGGGTGCTAGGCCCCTGTGTAGTAGTGCATAGAATTCTAGCTTTTTTCCTTTCTCTGTATATTGGGCTAAGAGATTACACTGTGTCTATGTGAATACAGACAGTTAGCATTTACCAACATGTATCTGTCTACTTTCTCTTGTTTAATAAAAAGAAAAAAAAGAAAAAAGGGGGGGTTAGAAGGTCAGCAAGGGTGGGTTTGAGGTGTCTGGGGGGGTAAGTGGGCATTGTGACAACATGGCTTCTCCTTTGGCATGTTTAATTGTGATGTTTAACAGACATCCTTGCAGTTTAAGATGACACTTTTAAAATAAAATTCTCTCCTAACGATGAAAAAAAACCAAAAAACAAAAAAACTTAGTCCTGATAAGAACTGTATGGGAAGTGACCCCAGAGAAGTCAAGTGATTGGAAGGTGGTAGTGGTACTTGGACTGGATTTCTGACTTCAACTATGTGGCTTTTTCCCCATATCGGACATTCCCAAGCAGACCTCGGTATTCTGGAGGGTCCCTATACAATGCTTAGGGGCTGGGACTTTCTTGCTTTCCCATCTTCCCTAAGAAAACCAGGAGACAGGAGCCCTAGTGTATGTCCAAGTATGACCTTATCTTCCCCAGGATTTGGAAACCCTAGCCGGGATTCCCCTCCGCTCTCCTCTTCTACCAGACATCCTGTGAGTCTCCCTGTCCACCACAATGTGTCTGGACAGCGTGAGACTCTGGGCTCCCTAGGAAGGAGTAGAGCCAGGCTATTTCTTCACCCATACCTGTGGTTGGGACTGCTTGACACTTCCCGATCTGTCTAGCGCTTCCTGTCAGGGACTCTAGGTTCCTTGTCATGGCAAACCCATGTTCTGCTTACTAAGATTTGGCTTTTCTCAAGTCGTAAGGGCTAACGTGCGAGAGATGAATCAGTGAGATTTATTGACCGCTTGGCTTATAGTTTGACAGGTTTTATTTCTTACATGATGAATAAAGTGGCCCCAGCCAGTGGAAGGCCACCCATTCTGACAGTCTTGTGGACTGACTTTCTGAGAAGCACTTGGTTGGTACTTGTGATTGGTGGCTTCTTGTTTCTGTTGTGGTAGCAGAGTGTGTTATCAAGATGCCCTCCAGCATCTGCACTGGGGACCAAGGACAGATACATGAAATCAAGAGTAAAAAGAAGGATTTTAAATGACTCTAACAAAAGTTGTTGGGAAAGGACCTTTGCATGGGTTGGCCATCTGGACAGTGTATACTCTAGGACTCAGGAGCCTCAAGAAGAAAGTGGAGTGGCGTGGATCGGGTAGGTGTATGTGTGCACAAAAATGTAACCAAATGAACACACACCCTGCTCATGTGCTCACGCCCACGCAGTAGCGTCTGCTAAGACATTAGCTTCCCTCTATATACGTTTCCGAATTTGCTGACATGTTTGTCTGACCAGAGAATTTAGACTTTTCTCATTATCTTTCCACAGATACATGATGAGATGGGGAAACATTTGCTGACTGAACAAATGGCACCATGGACCCTTCTGGGCATGCAGAATTTATCATAAAATAATAACGGTCGCCACCATTGTAGCTGCCACTCCCACCACCACCACTCCCACCACCCCCACCCCCACATCCTCCCTGGAGGAAAGCAAAGGCTTCCACTGTTAGCCTTGACACTTCCTCGTTGGTACCTCAGGCCCCCTGTTCTTAGGTTTGTTTTTCTTAATGTTATCCTTGTTGGTGATGCTATTATTGTTATCATGTGTCAGGGACCTAACCTAGGCCATGGATATTCTAGACATGCAATTCACAACTGAGTCCCCCCAGTGGCCCCAATTTTTGAAGATTCTCTGAGTATTTTCTGAACTTTAATAGAATTTGAAATACATAGGTTTTCCAAGTTTTGGATCTCCTGAGAAAGGTGCAAGCCTGTGAAAGAAAACACTGGCCTTGTCACATGACCAGAAGGTTTCCTGAGTCACTCAGCAGAGTCTGGGGACTTCCAGGCTTTTACCCTTTAATGGCGATTTTCATCAAACTGTGATAACACATGGTGATGAAAAATGGTGGCCAAGTTTGTTACGGCTGGGGGCTCTGTACAGGTGAAACAAGCCATTGCTCATGTGTGCTTGTATATTGTGATAGTTTTTAGTTTTTTTTTCTTTTTTCACAACTACAAGGAGTGTGGGGGGGGCTGTATCAGACAACAGATGTGAGAGTCCTTTTTCCCCCCTTTCTCCGTGTCCTCTGGCTAGACCTGAGGCTCCAGCCTGGTAACTCACTGTTGTGGTATTATATACCTCAAGATTAGTTGTGCGCAGTAGAAAGTGTAGGACAGGATTTATCAGTGTGAGTTCCTCCTTTGAAGTATAGGGGCAGCCTCCTTGGCTGATGGCTTCTGGAACGTCGCCAAGTCCCAATATGCTGTGAAATAGCCGTCTTCGGTTTTCTCGGCACCTAAGCGCATTTGCACTTGATTCTCCGGCCACCATAGCTTTCTGATGTTTTCAAGGCAGTGTTCTTGGGGCCAAGGGCCTGGGGCCAAACTGTAAGCCTGCCTGTTTGTGCTCCTTTATCCCGACAGGGTTTTGATGGCTCAAGATACAGGCTATAACACCAACCTGCGTTCTCTAGCTCTGGCTGGCCGTGAGCCGCTGTTAAGCGCTTATGTATAGATTTCTCTGTCGCCCACATCTCTTGTTATCCTGAACCCCCAAACAGAAGGTTGATCGTTTAGGCTTTACTGAAACAGTATTTCCTGCAGTGTTGCGCCCTCACCTTTACAGCTTCCAACTAAAGCAGTGTTTATGTGTGTCAACCAAAGACTAAATAAATTCCATCTTTTTCTAGTAAAAACTTCACCAACTGTTTGCCTACATCCCTTTCCTTCCTCCTTTACCTATCACCATAATGAAGAGAGCACATGAAAGGTTAACGATGTTAGATTCCCAGACACCCTGCCACAGACAGGTTGGGCCATCAGCCACGTTTCTCATCCCACAACTATGTGTAATAAATAGCTTCCTTGTAAATGCATATTTCCCAATGAGCTCTCACTTTGGGGCTCCCTCAAGCCTGGGAACGAGACTCTTTCCTGATTTAAACCTTGCCAACTGGTATTGGGGAACCCGTAACGCAGCCTTTCCGAGGATCCTTCTCTCTCTCTGCGCTTTAATAAGGTATCTTGGGGTGACTGAACTGAGTTTCAGGGAAGACTCCCGGACTATGAGCTCCGAATGCAGAACTGGATGTGACTGCAGAATGGCTTCTGTTATGAGCCAGACTGTGTCTCCTGCTTTGTCCCCAAGTCCATGTACTGTTGTCCTAGCTCTTAGTGTTCCAGAGGGTCTAGAACCAGGCTCTTTACAAAGATAACCGGGCAACATTGAGGTCATTACGGTGAGCCCTAATCTAACGCAGCTGGTGCCTTCTTAAAAAGTGGGAATTTGAGATCAGAAAGATGGTTCAGCAGGTAAAGGTTCTTGCTACTGAGCCCAGTGACCTGAATTCTAGTCCTGGGACCCACACGGTGGAAGGAAAGAAAAGACTCCCTCATTGTCATGTGACTCCATGAGCTTGCAGTGGCGTGTGTGTGTGTGTGTGTGTATGGGTGTGTGTGCACGTGTGTGCTCACGCATGCACGCGCGTGCACATGTGAGCACTCACAAGTAAATAATTTTAGAAATTTTAAAGGGAGTGTTTAGAACCAGACCCTCCACTCGGGGAGAGTGGGTATGGACATGAAGGCAGCTTTGTTCAGGTGGAGAAGAAGGCCTGAGGCAGATCTTTCCCTGGTCCCTCGATCCTTCAGAAGGGATTGACCCTGCCTATACCTTGATTTGGACTTCCAGCCTTTAGACCTCACAGCAAACACATTTCTGTTGTGTAAGCCATTGGCAGCGCTACACTTTTTTTTTTTTTTGAGGCAAGCTTAGGAAATGATTATAGGTCTGCCTTGGTCTGTTTGTGTTTCTATAACAAAATACCAAAATTTTGGAATTTATAAAGAATAGATATGTTTTTTCCATACAATTTTGGAGTTCAAAGTCAAGGTCCTGGGAGATTTGGTTATCTCACGAGGTCTGTGTTCACTTTCTAAGATGACATTCATTGCAGCACTTCAGAAGGGGTGGAGCAGATGCTGCTTCTTCTCGGTGGAAAGTAACAGGGGGGGCTCCATTCAAGTAACGCCTCAGAATAAGAAAGCAGCCCAGGAGTACAGACCTCAGGATTCAGGTGTTGATCACTGTGAGTCACAGAGTCCTAACCGAAGGTCTGACATCCACGGCAGGAACAGATACTGTTTCTACTGCAAAACAGAGTGACTTTGCCTTTCCTGAGGTTTTGTCTTATACAGAACAGATCGGGTGTTGGCACAGAAAGCAACTCTTCTTTCCTTGGTCTCCTTCTGCAACAGTCCCCTCTGGACACTGGTGTTTCCCCTTCAGCTTTGCGGGTTTTCCTGGTATCCTGTAGTCAAGGTGGACCTATACTCAACTACGGCTATGTCCGTGCTTCAGACGAGAGCAAGAGTGCAGAATGCAGGAAGTGTATGAGGGCGTGCTCTTGGCATGGGCTCCTAAGGAGGAGGGCGATGAGAAGGCTGGGAGACGGTGAAGTTGAGCTGAGCTGGGCTAGAGGCCCAACAAAGGCCATAAACCCCTTCATAATTAAAATGTAGCTTTGGGTGTTC